TAAAAGCATTTATCAAAACTAATTAATTTAATTTATGATACAAGAGATCTTTTTTACGGACATAAAAAAAAAAATAGTCTTTTATTTTAAAGAAAAAAAAAACTTATACTATCATTATGATTGATTAGATTGATTATTATATTAATTTCTTTTTTTTTTTTTTTTTTTTTCTTGTTTTTTAAAATTTTCGTTAGAGAGTGAGTATTCGAAAACTAAAGAGCCAAATTTCAGACTCCTTCTTGGCTATTTAATTTACGATTACGAAATTGTTTACTTTTGATAGTGTTCAAAAAAAAACACTGTCAAACCCATTTAATAGTTGATCGTCTTTTATATATCTAGGCGTCTTTTTACAGTATGCATAAAAAAGTACTATTACTTCTATTATTGATATGTACTCCATAATTTTTAGTCTAACTTAATTCATAAAATGGAATTCTGAATCACCGAAAATACTCCCTAATATATATATCTGTATATATATATATATCTGTATTATTTATAAAAAAAATTCCAAATGTATATAACGGTTTGTACTGTACATACGTACAGTACGTACGTACGAAGTACGTAGGGTACATGCAGGGCCGTACGTACGTTTTGAATATCCGAGACCCCTTGAACGTCCGCGGAAAGTTCTCAACTAGGTTATAAAGCTATTGTGATATATAGAAAATTAAAATTCTCAATGATTTTATGAATGAGTTTATGAATGAAAGCAATAAAAACTTTGCGTCATTCGGGTCATCCGGTTATACGATGCCCGTTGTTCGTAACATACATATAGACGTACATGTAAAACTATGTATCACTTGCCAAGAATTATACTTAACAAATTTATACCTTTGAAACATTGAAAAGAAAAACTTTACCAAAATCGTTTTTAAGGAATCAAGATAAGATATTATTTTAGTTTATTCTAATTTATTTCATCGAATTATTACAAAGAGTTATCTTTTTTCAAACATTTTAACGTTAACAAAAAAAAGATCAAGGTTTGAGCAGATCATTTAGGATTTCCTAATTCTTAGGGAGTCACCCGGTAAACTTAAAATATCATTGATTTATTTTGGCAATATTGAAAAAGAAAATTCTACGTGCGTACGTATCTAATCGAAAAATTGTTCTAAAATTAACTTTTATTAACTTTTTTCGTTATTAATGTATTATAGGATGTATTATCGTGAAACAGATTTCTAGTTTTTTTAAATTAATTGCATTAATTGTAAAAAAAGAATAGCAACAATTATAAATTTATACGAATTCGATGTCGGTTCAGTCTTTGACAATGAATTAAGAAATATATATTAAGAAATTAGCAAGCTTTATATCCTTTTAATATATACCAGTAATATGCTAAAAAAAAATTATTATTTTTTTTTTAACTTCCACTTCGACCTAAATAACTTTTAAATCAAAGATTGTTGCAATTAGCAAAAAGAGATCAAATATGATCAATATTGATATATATACTTAATTTTTTTTTCAATAATTCATGATCTCATAAATTTCAACCGATTACTTTCTTTCTACTAGTTCGAGATCTGGGCGGTCTTTTAGCTTGTTCAACACTTAATATATGATCCTTAACAATAATAACTCCTTCTTTAATAGCATTGTTAAATGCAGTTGGGGATGAGAAATTTGCGAAAGCACAAGACTAAAAAAAAAATTTCATAATATTAATTAGTTCCTTTTTTATAAAGTTTAATTTGAAATAATTACCAAATAAATACCTTGCCGGGAATGAAATCAAGGCTATCCACGGGACCGAAGGTTGCTTCGAGATTCTCTTTTAAAGTTTCTTTATCAATATCATCGGTTAATGGTCCAATATAAGTTCGATAATATGAACGACTGACGACTAATTAATACATTTTTAGGAATGGATTAAAAAATTAATAAAATAATAAATAAATAAATCAATCAAGTTAATTAATTTTACCATAATTACCGGTTGATCGAGCTGCAACTGTTAAAAACTCATTATCATAAGATAAGATAGGTGGTGTTAAATCAAAGTTTCCACCACGAGATAAATCTTGAATAAGATCGGATTGATATTTCGTAATTTTTCGATATTTTTCAATTATAGCATCCTTTTGTTCAATTTGAGATAGAAGGCTAAGGCATCTACGACAATCTTTTCCGTTCATATTTTTGTTTACGTACTAATTGAATATAGCGAAAGGAAGTTTTGTAATGAGAGGAGTGCGCAACCTAATTATAGTAAAGTATATTTCACGTTTTTTAATTTAATATATATATATAATAATCATTATCAATTATTGTGTAAAAAAAAATATTTAGTCTTTTGAGTAATACAAAACGCAACTAATGAGTCATATAGACGCAATTAAATAATTAATTTTTTTTTTTATTATTATTATATGATCAGCCTAAACAAGTCTTTTTTTTTTCAAAGAAAAAAAAAAAGGCTATCGTTATGTGATCTTTCTATTAGAAACATGTTTTTTTTTGGATGATTACCCCATTTGCGTTTCTAATAATATTTCTATTGGCATTACTGCATTATACAGTATTAACTTCCATATTTATCGTCAAGAATTATTTATAAAAGCTAAAAACATTTTTCACCTGACATCATTCTACATTTGTCACGTGATCGTCATATTAATCGAATTTAGTTCATTCTGAATCAATTTAATATGAATAGTACTAAATTTTATTATACGTATAACTGTGAAAAAAACTGACGAATCGAAAAACCAAAAAGGTAACAGATTAAACAATTACACAGATCATCATCCTAATATCGTTATCGTCATCTAAACTCAAATTTATAAATACTATACTATGTATGCAGAATATTTCCAAAATAATCCAATTTTTTGGTCATTCATACGCCAAGCGCGAATAAGAAAATCCTAAGCCAAGAATAATCGTTCTACGTATAATCGTTCGATTAATACTATAACAACAATAATCGTTCGATTGATACTAGAACAACAACGATTAATACTACAAAGGTTTGTATCTTTTCAATGTTTAATAATATTTTCGAATCTTATGGTTCAGTAGAAAATGTTAAATATTAAAATTTATATTTTCATTAAGTTCTAATTTGAGAGAGATACGGATTGATCAGCATGTCATATGGTTCACTTTGAAATTGTATAATTCTTATTAATGTTTTTACTATACTGTATATAAATTTTTTAATGAGAAATTTCTATTTGCACGCTATGTGTAGTATGATATCTCAAAACCCTAATTATAAAAAGCTTTAGGAATTTTGAACTTTTTGCAAAGTTTTAGCATAACAATAAACCATATAACTATTTTCAATCCAACCTTAATTTTTGTCTCATAATTTATACGTACGTACTTTGTACGTACTTTATACGTATGAAACACTAAACGTAAACTAATAAAAAATTTCTATTTTAATACAGCAATAAGCTTTTTTATTATTAATTAATTAATAATAAATATTACTATCAAACTATTAATAAATTTTTATTGCTTTTTTTACTAAATTTTTTTTATTATAATGTTTTTTTTTAAATATCAAAGTTAAACTTCGTATTGTAAAATTTAAAGAATATTATGTTGTAAAATTTAAACGTAAAATTAAGAATAAAATTTAAAAAGAATTTAATAATTAATAGTGCATTAAAATTAAGTAGGCCTTGCATCAAATTCAAGATTTTAAATTCTCGAAATAACGGTATCTGCGCGTTATTTCGATACGCCCATGTGCTTTATAAATTTATATAAAGTGCGTATTATTTCTGGCGCGCATGAACATATTAGAAAATTAATTTGGCTCCATTGAGGTGTTACTAAAAACAGTGAAGATAATTGTGGGTATTCTGTCCTTTCCGCTTTCGTACTACACCTACTAATAGTGCAGAATTTGAGTCTATATCAGATTATCTTCTAAATGCTGTTGTCTATCGTACAGGGTGAGATGAAAAAAACCAGATAATTCTATCTGGAAAAAATCTTTATCTCTCATGATTATCATGCTAACAAACCTAAACAAGATACTATGTGCAGTACACAAATACAAGAAAATTTCCTAGTGACTGTCAGTCACTTCTACTTCAAGACCGAAATTATGACTGTCGTCCGATAGGCCATAATTTATCTAACCTCAAGGCAATGACTGTTGTCATGACAGGCCATCAACCATTTATGCAGACTCTCAGATCGTATACTACAAGGTTTAGCAGAAAAAAACAGAGCTTACTCTTTCTGGGAAAAACTCTCATACGAAAAATCATGACAATGTATCATACTGTACGATTATTATACCCCTGATCGATTCGAATCAAAATGCTGCTCCGATAATTTCGTATATACCATTTTTAGGGTGCGCGATTTTCATACCCGCTATTTGTGAATTTATGGTAAGCGTTAAAGGTTTATCTTCGACATACTGTATAGCTTATAGTCCAATAAACAGTTGCATATTTGTCTCCCACTATTCTATTCGTTTGAGAAATGGGGTTTTCGTTGGTTTTTCGTAATGTACTTTAAACTGCATGAATAGTTACCTTGGCAGTTGATTCAAATCATCTAATCAAGCTATTTTTTCCTGTGATTTGTCGTGTTCATTTATAACGGTATACAATCTTTTAACTGCCAATAATATTTTCTAGCATTAGACGTTTAATTGATCATGCATTGAAAAAATTATTTATCGCGTTAATCTGTTCCATTGCGGGCAAGGCGATTAACCTAGCGAAGATGCCACATTAAAAAACTAATTTCCCGACGGGTAATTTACCTGACATCAGCCGAGGTGATAACTTAAAGTACTAATAGGGCAAGGCGATTAACCTAGCTAAGATGCCACATTAAAAAACCAATTTTCCGATGGGTACGTAATTACCTGACATCACCCGAGGTGATAACCTTACAGTATTAATAATATATACCTGCAACTAATAAAAAATGTTAACTCTATGTGATATTATACCAGGTAAATGGCGGAATGACCATCGAGAAATGAGCAACAACGCATTTCCTCAATGTGAACTTCTATTAGATTCCAAATTTGGCCCTTTGTTTTTGGATAAAGGCAAATTCTTAAAAATAACACAATCCTGAACATAATTAATGATCTTTACCAGCAGAAGTATGTTAAATTCTTTTTCTACTTAATTTAAAGATTTCTTTTTGGTCAATAATACTTACAAGAAAATTTTGTCATACTCAAAAAAAAAAAAATCAGGTTATACGAGCTTTATGTTTCAATTAGCAAATTAGGAAAATAATAGAACTCATTAAAAGAGAAATCAGTTAACTAATATAGAAAAATTATTAAAAGCTATATAATTTTGTTTAATTCATTTGAACCAATACAAGGAAAGTTTTTCTTGAGCTTTTTAGCATATGCTTGCTTGTTTGTTTGTTTGTTTATAACATTCAAATACTGTTTTAACTCTTTAAACATTTATCAGAAGTTTCACAGAGTTCTTCAGCAAATGGTCGCTTTTCTGAATCTTTGTCCCCAACATTTTTTCATAACAATTCGGAGTTTCTTCATTAACCATCATATATTTGTCTCAAAGATTTATAATCATGATATCTATTTCACAAAATACAATCATTCCATACAATATTTCCCACATGAATATACCCTAACGCATAAGTATTAGGTTTCGTAGTATATAGTTTTTCTATTAAAATTTTTAGAGCATATAAGTTAAAACCTCATCTTTTTTGATTCTTTTGAACATTGAACTGAACCGCGATATACGAACTGTATAAGTTGTCTTTCGAGATTCATTAAGTGACGATTCGTGAGTGGTCAGCACTGTAACCATAGTATAATTTGGGTTAAGATCACTATGTTTTGTAAACAATGTTTATTCTAAGTAAACATTTCTTTGTGCTTTAGTAAAAGTTGTAGAACTAAGTTTTGCGATTCTAATATTGGTAAAATCGTTAAGATTGGCATGGTGTATAGCAAGATAACAAGCAATTAATGTTACATGACTATATATAGTAAAATCTCTATAAAAAGATTTTATATACGTACAGTACGTAGTCGTGTAATACTGTATTAATTGTTTGTATCCTGTCATTCACTAGGTCAATTTTGATGATTTTACATTAAAATCGCAATCTTCTAAATATATATTATACGTATAATGATTGTTGTTAAATACAATATTATTAAATAATTAATTTATTAATATACAGTATCGGTATGTATATTTTTATATTGAAATAAAAAATTATCTTAGGCCATACAAAATAAATTTCTTGGTTTTCATAACCCGGCCGGGTCAAAAAATTAAAATCTTAAAATTTTTTTTAAAAATTTATTAACCAATAAAAATTTAAAACTTACAATGCGTACTAATTAGCAAGTTCTGTAACAGAATTTTTATAATAACATAATATAAATTAAATCAACTTTAACTACATACTACCGGTATATGTCACTAGAATAGAGAGCAAGAATTTTTTATCGTAACTCTTATTAGAAATCACAATAATTTGAATGAAACAAACTCAACTTTAACTGCATATTACATCACCAGAATAGCAAGTAAGTTCGGTAACAGAATTCTTTATAATTGATTTCAATAGAAATTATAATAATTTTAATGTGAATTAACTCAGCTTTTAATTACATATTGTGTCACTGGAATAGCAAGTTCAATAACGGAATTTTTTATATTAGCTCATGATAGAAAACATAATTCTAATACAAACTAACACACCTTAACCACATACTATATCACTGGAATAGCAAAGAATAAGCGAGCTCTATACCAGAATTTTTATTACAATAATTCCAATGCAAACCAACTAAACCTTAGCTACATATAGTAGAATTCGTGATAACTAATGCAAACTAACTTAGCCTTAACTACATAATATGTATCACCAAAATAGTGTTAAGTTTTGTACGTACCAATTTTTTGCATTAACGCATGATAGAAAACAAGTGAAATTATAATAATTTCAATGTCACCACAAAATGGAATAAATAAGAGGGTAGCGCGTAACCGCCACCTATTACTAAACATGATTATGACAATACACTTATAGAAGGTGAGTAACAACTTAAGAAATGACAAATACGGCAGTAATAAGATATGGGACGTTATACTATGTATTAACATTACATATATTAACAAGAAACGCGTCGGGCAAGTGCAGTGGGCTAAGC